CCCCCTAGAGATAATGCAGGACATGGAACTCAAAAGAACAATTATAAACATGGTAAAAGAATTCAGTGAATTTAAAGAACACACACACAAAATCAAACAACTGAAGGAAGATAGGGATAAACTTCTGAATGAATTCAGAAGAGTTAGAAATATTGAAGAATACTCAGGCTGAAATGAAGAAGGAAGTGAAACACTCAGTAAGCCAATTAGAAATGACAGGAGAAAGCCTCACCAATAGGATGAAAGAAATGGAAAAACAGTATCAAGACAGGAAGATAAAATGGACAAACTAGACCACTCAAGCAAGATCGTGAAAAATTTAAGGAATCACAAGAATGGAATATACAGGAATTATGTTACACCATAAAAAGACCAAACTTATGAATCATAGGCATACAGGGAGGGGAAGAATCCCAAGATAATGGCATGGACCAGATCTTCAACAGAATAGAGAAAGAAAATTTCCCAAAATTAGAGAAAGACATGCCCATACAAATACAAGAAGCATACAGAACACCAAACAGACAGGACCAGAAAAGAAACTCTCCACAGCACATCATAGTAAAAACACTAAATGTACAAAACAAAAGACAATACTGAAAGCTGCAAAAGAGAAACAAGAAGTCACATATAAAGGAAAAACCATTAGGATTACAGCTGACTTTTCAGTGCAAACTATGAAAGCCAGAAGAGCCTGGACCAAAGCATTCCCAATTTTAAATGACCACAGATGCCAACCCAGATTACTATACCAGCCAAAATGTCTATTATAGTCAAAGGGGAAAGAAAAATCTTCCATGACATAAATAGGCTGAAGGAATTCATGTCCACAGAGAGTTCAGAGAAGCAATACAAAGAGCTGAAGAAAGGAATGACTATACCCAAGGAGTTGCAGAAAAAAATTCAATGAAGGTGTAACTGTGGAAAAGTACAGCTACATCATGAATGTAAATAGAAATAAAAATGACAGGATTCAATACTCATCTTTCATTAATAACTTTAAATATTAATGGACTGAACTCCCCAGTCAAAAGACACAGACTAGGCGAATGAATTAAGAAACAAAACCCATCTTTTTGTTGTCTGCAAGAAACCCATCTCACTTTCAAGGACAGACCCTACCTTAAAATGAAAGGATAGAAAAACTATACCAAGCAAATGGTACTAAGAAAAAAGCAGGTGTAACAATTCTAACATCTGACAAAATAGACTTTAAACTAAAACTAATCAGAAGAGATAAAGAGGGCCACTTTATTCTGATCAAATGAACAATAAATCAAGAAGATATTACAATCATGAACATATATTCACCAAACTCTGGTGCACCCAACTTCATAAAAACAATACTACAGGACTTTAAGACCCAGATTAATCCCAACTCATTAATAGTAGGGGACTTCAATACGCCACTATCTCCATTAGGTACGTCAACAGGCCAGAGAGTTAACAGAGAGACATCTGAATTAAACAATATATCAAATGGATTTAGCAGACATCTACCGAGTATTCCACCCAAGCACCAAAGGACATTCTACTTACTCAGCACCCCATGGAACCTTCTCCAAAATTGACCATATACTTGGGCACAAAACAAACCTCAACAAATACAAAAAGTTTGAAATAATTCCATGCATTGTATCAGACCACATGT